AAAAAATATACATTACTCAAACACTTTATGGAAAAAATGCCTTCCTCTTCATAATGCCATGACAATTCACTGAGTTATCCAATAAAGAGAATTTGTCTTCTGAAAATAGTTTGAAAACAGAAAGTTGACCCTGATAACTAATAAGCTTCCTTTGATTCCAAAGATTATAAGAACCTGACTTATCTGCTGAGTAATGATAGTCATGAAAATCACACTGAATCTATAATGTGTTCTGATTAGCTTTTACTTCAAAATAATATTTGCTCTTCTTATTTTAAATTTTTTCATAAGACCTTGTCCAGTTGTGGGCTAAATAGTGTAACATTTTGTAAAAAATGGGTTCAATAACTTTTTCTTTTCTGGAGTACTGTATCCTTCTAAAATCTTTAAGTAGACATAGGACACGCAAAGATATTTCCAAAAGACTAGGGAATTATACATTACATATGTGTGTGTGTGTGTGTGGGTGTGTGTGTATACACACACCACTTGACCTCAATATTTAATGCATCCCAGTAGAAATTAAAACATTCTCCAACACTTTTGGAAAACAAAACACTATGTTACCTGGTTTGATTTATATTCAAATGCACAAGGTTCAAATAATTCTCTTTCTTTGAATTCTGCTTGGGTATGTACACACAAAACCCAATAAAGGTTTTCTTATTTCATGCCATTTTGATTTTGTGGAAGAGAAGCAGACCATTAGATCACTGTTTATAGTATGGACTTCACGTTCCTCATCTTGCCAGTGCAAGTGGGAGTTCCCAGCAGACAATGACCAGGCAGAGGATATTACTTTCAGAGGCTCACTAAATAAATAGTTGCCACATTAGAAAGAAAGAAAAACACACCAAACGGTCATGACGACTGTTCAGTTTCCGGTGAGTGCTAGCCCAAGAACTTATGATATCTCCTGAATTTCATTTTGCATCACAGAAATGCAATGCTCCAAAGGAAACTAGCTGTGATGTAGGCTCATGAATTCATAACTAAGTTTACCATAATATTAATCTTCACTGATGTTCTAAATTTTCAGTTACTATTATAGTTCAAAAACATACTGTCTCCTGAAACGAAAATGAGCAAATGTTATAGTACCTGATATTTGTTATTCTACCTTTACAAGGATTCATATATATTCTTGACTTTCGTTCTGTTGTTTTACAAAATACAATTGTATGACATGTCCACAGAGTAAACAGTAAAGTATTAAAAATACTTGGGGCGCCTGGGTGGCTCAGTCAGTTAAGCATCTGCCTTTGGCTCAGGTCATGAACCCAGGGTCCTGGGATTGAGACCTGTATGTTGGACTCCCAGTTCAGCGGGAAGCCTGCTTCTCCCTCTCCCTCTGCTGCACCCTCCCCCACTTCTGCTCTATTTCTCTCTCTCTGTTTAAATAAATTAAATTTTAAAAATAAAATAAAATAAAAAATACTCATGGTTCAATCCAGAAAATTTAACTGACAGTTTAATTCAATAAGTTTGGACACCTACCATGTGCCTGATTTTATAGCTAATTTTTAACAAATGGAATAGATTAGTACTTTCTCTCATGTAATACTGCTAAGTTCATGGCTAAAAGCCAGGTTATTTGAGTTCAAAAGGTATAGGGGGAAAAAAAAGTCACCTTACTTTTGCAAAGCCTACATTTAACATTAGCCTCAGAACACTGTGTTTCCCTAACATGATTGGGAGGCTTTTAGTTGCCTATCTTGCAAACTATAATGTTACTGAGAATTTCAAGGGTCTTATATTTCTGTACTCCATAAAAGCAAGCTTCTGGAGCATTTCTGGGTCTTGGTGACACGAAACAAAGCAATGTCATGTATGTGTGGACCCTCAAGTCCCTTTTAGATTTACATTTCTATATTAAATGGCATCTGTAAGAAATAGACACTTTATAGTGAAAAATCATAACTCCTTATCCATTCATTTTTAAAACTCTGGACTGAGTTCAAAAAAGAGCTTAGGTAATTTTGTTGTAATCTCAAAATTGTCTATCATGGTACTGAGTACCTAGAAAACACTCAACAACTTTTATTTGATTGATTAAAAGAAAATTTCTAGTTTTTTTTTTTTTGAGCCCTAAAATAGAATTTCTGAGATTTATAAGCCAATATAAATATTTAATAAAGAACACAGAGGCCTTAAAATGCTAAGTAGCTCAGGACCTTACCTCAGAATTTTACATTGTCATGCCTGATTTTATACCATTTCCACACAACTGAGGAAATTAATAAGTAAATCTACGGTTTATTTAACAGCATAAACTATGTCCAGAGCAAGAATTAGGGCTCAGTCCTTTTGAGTACAAAAAAAAATTTCACCAGATTTACCAATAACACATTTCCTTTCAGAGTAGGAAAATATAAGTGCTTTGAACTCAAGGAATGTATCACACATCATCTTGTTGCCAATTCATATACCTTAGCCTTCAAAGGGAGAAGAAGGTACATTAAAAGAAGGAAATCTCCTGTAGCAGGGACCTAACCACTCTGTTAAATACACACAAGATATGGGAAGTACAACCCTCCTATGTATTCATATGCATATTTTCTGAGAATAATAGGCATGGTCTACACATAGATTCTTTTAACATACATATCTGTTATACTACTCTGGTGCATTTTCCACATATTTCATATTTTTCATTTCGAGTGGAATGAATAAGTCACAGGGATGAAAGGTACAACATAGGGAATGTAGTCAATGGTATTATAATAGTGTTATATGGTGACAGACGGTTACTACACTTGTGGTGAGCACCAGATAAGGTACTGACTTGTTGAATCCCTATGTTATACACATGAAACTAATGTAACATTGTGTGTCAACTCTACTTCGATGGAAAAAAAAAAAAATTTCACTTAAAAGAAAAATTTCATTTAGAAATGGAAAATATTACCTTTCTTGCTTCTTTGATCATCTTCCGAATAGTTTCCTTAATTGTAAGTAATTGTGCTCTCGGTGGATGAAAGAGGAGGTCTATATGGGTGCCCCCTAAGAGTCCCGGCATCACATACGGCCAGCCTAAGTCAAGATTTGGAGCTTCCACATCAGATTCAATGGGCCAGTAAGTCCCTGAAGAGGAGGTATCATCGTAGGAGTTATCAGTACCGTGTGCTGTACTTTGTGCAACTTTCTGGACATTTTTCAGAATATAATTAATTTCTTCCTCAGCTAGAAAGTCTGATACCCGTTCCTTGGCAAGAAATTCTTGGTATGCTTCTAACCCATGTTCAATTAGTACATCAATGGCTACTCGATACCATTCCTTGTAGTGAGGCTCAATGTAATTGTCTGATTTACACTCATCATTCAATGAGGACAGCATTGATGAGGTTTCCATGATTGCAAGCGTCTGACAACAGCACTTTCAAATGTCCATTCGTGTAGTGATGAGAGGTATCTGGGTATTCGAAAGGAAGGAAATCAAGATCAGTTAGAATTCTGTAATGAAAATTTTTTATGATCCACATCAATCACCATTTTTGCATTTACTCATTTCCACTACCAGTAACTCAATATGACATACATTTCACGTCCAAAGTGGCATTAATTGCATCATAATTCACATACATATTACAAATAAGCTAAACAGATTTCCTTTTACAAGCCACTAGTTGGTTTTCCTTTTCCAAGGTACCTCTACTTTCAGTTTCTCACCTAAGGAAAAACACTTCCCTTTCTCTGACATCCAGAAAGGTCATCCTTAATTTTAATCTGGGACTACAAATGGTCGTAACAGTTTCTAGACGCTTTCTTGATTTGGGTTTTACAGTATCTTAAAATAGAGTACAATCAGTACCTGGCCATCCATTAATATAAGTTTTTACTAGGTACCTGTTATGCATATACTTGCATACTAATGGAATATAAAAAGCATGAAATACTTGCCTTCCAGAAATGTATTAATTAGCTGAAGAAGCAAAACATACAAACTGTCTTTTACCACTTTGAACAAAGCCATATATTGCTAAGGACCAAAATGCGTACTGCCTATAGTCAATGCTTTCAGGTTAAAGCAAGTAGAGATCAATACAGAATGAAGGATTTATGTATATCCCTATGTGCAGGACCTGGCTTCAGCTGAACCTAGGGTGATAAGAAAGAATATGATCAGTGGCAAGAAGGCATATTTTAACCCCACCCAAGAGAGAAAAACATAGCAAAAGCGCAAATAGGCATGAGCTTGATATATTCATGAATTAGTTAAAAACAAACAAACAAAAAAACCTTGGTCTGCTGGAAAGCAGGTTCCTTTCACTAGGAATAGGAGACAAATTTGAATAGACATGATGGAGCCAGGTGTGGAGGGACACAGGAGATTTTTGTGATTCAACAAAACCAGTCTTTAAAACAATTAGTCTGGCAGTATCAGGGGAATGGAGGAGAGACAAGTCACTAAGTCTTCCAGTGTTCAAACACCCAGTCAAGAAGTGACAAGAATATTCAAGAGCTGGTTCAAAGTAAGAACTCTTGAGATTTGATAGTTTGACAGCATCTAGGTGATGAACAAATTTAAGATATCAAAGATAATTCAGGGATTTCTCTTAGGTATTCAAATCTGCCTAACCAAGCTCATACCCCAACCACTCACAATGCCCACAAACTGTCACTCATTCAATCCTTTACTGTATAAGATACCACACTACACTTTATCTCCATCAGATAAGGGCCTTTCCAATCTTTTGAAGTCACGCTCTCCAGTGTATAGATTCAAACAAAATTCAGCTCCATGAAGTGCTACAAGCACTAAAGGACTAATTTGACCATAAACCTCTTTGTCAAGGGCCCCGTCCTAATTTAAAACTTTCCACTTAACCCAAGGTTTTCAGACTCAGGACTATCAAAACTCAAACCTGATTTGGGAGGGTAATCCACAAAACTATTATCATGTATTAACTCCTCAGCTCAAAAGATGTAACAAGTCACTAATCATACAGAGGAGTTGTGAAGAAATGGGAAACGGGGCCACAAGTTTTGCTGAAAGGGTGGGGAGATCAGAAAAGATTCAGCACACATACTAACGCAGAGCTAAGAAACAAGGAAGATACAGGATCGACCTGGCTCTTTGAGTGGAGACAATTCTGTCCCCATCCCTAGGCTCAAAATTCTTACCAACAAAGTCTAAAAGTACAGAGAGGCTAAAGATTAAATCTGATACAAGAAAAAAACAAAACAAAACATGTTTATCTCCTGGCATGTACTGTGTAGAAGCCAGGGATGCCGTTAAACCTACTTCAATACACAAGACAGCCACCTGCATTAAGGAATTATCTGGCCCAAAATGTCAATGGTGCCATGGTTGAGAAATCTTCATCAAGTTGCTCACTTAATATGCATGGTATTATACTACTAATTAATGACCTTTTTGATGTTCATTAAAGTTCTTTTTTGCACCTCATACTGGACTCATTTTTAACAAAGAAATAAAGTTTTTATTTACTTGACAGAATCAATCCACTGGATTACAGTATAGTTCCCTAAGGTTTACTGAGGTGTGGTGTTTGTTTGACAATTCCAGTTCAGGAAGGGACAGCATCCAGTGATCCCATGAAAATCACATCTATTATTTGTAACTGCTTAAGACAGTAGTTAACTACTAGTTGTTTATAAAAATCTTAAATTTTCTTAGCACTTATTTCCTAGTTTTTAAAATTTAACTTTTGAAGTCCTATAACATATGAAGTTAAACACCTATTATCTACTTAGAAGCTAAAATGCATGAAGTGCTTTAAAAAATGGTATTGATTCCCAAGCTTTATCTAGGTAAATACATACTCTGCAACTATTAAAAAATTCACTCTTGAGCTATGGGTAAACTGTGAAATCACAGAGATCAAAAGGACCATGAAAGTAAAATAAAACCATGAAGACAAAGACAAAAAGTTAATTATGAGGGAAAAAACAACTGAAGATGAAAAAAGGTAAAACACTATAGGACTCATCAAATAGCAACGCCAGATACAATGTAGAAAAACCCATCACAGAAAAAAAATGCAACAGCTATGAGCATGGAAGTTGAGATATTACGTAAAAGAGTTAAGATAAAAAAATAAATTTGCTTGAGATTTTGTCCTGCTAGAGAAGCTAGACCCTCTAACCACTGTCTAGAGACACACATTTATCACAAGAGCTGTTTACAAGGGATAATTGTTGAAGGAACCATTTACAAACAAATTTTAAGGGAGAACGGTAAGGTAATGGCACTTGCATAAATGGGTACTGCAATAAAACAGCACCTGTATTTAGTTACAGATTTAATATAGCACTCTCAGGAGCTCAATCACTGAACATTTTAAGGATTTAATTTGAGGACAAAATTAATTGGGTATGCCTTTAAACATGTAAAAGTGCATTATTTTATTAAGAACCATTAAAAACTCCTAGAAAGTATATAAACACACATAATAGAGTTAATGAGTAGAGTAAAAGTTTCGCTATGATGTAAAAGCTAAACCAACCACTAGGCTCATCTGCTAGTTAAGTGACTCATTCCAAAAAAAATAGGCTTATAAAATATGGGATTCAAATCCATGCCTCAAAAGCATTACAAATTTATTTGATATTGAATCTTTGGTGTCATCTGTGGAAAGTAAACATTGCAGAGGTATTAAACATTAGATTTCAATTCATGGGCTACTCTGGGAAAACATTTTGGCAGTTTCATTATAAAACTAAACATGCAAATGACATACTTGTTTATGGTTTCTGATCTGAGAAGACTCATTGGAAAGACTTCTGAAAGAACAGGTCAATGGAAAAATGCTCCAAAGAGAAATTACAATTTTCTTAAATCACAAATGGTCTGAGGTTATGATTACTAACATGAAAGCAGATGACCAACGTCAAGACTGAAAGAACACCAAAAAGGATCATGGCTGCTGGTATCTCTGAGGTACCTTTTCCAACTTCTGTCTTAGGCCGTTTCTTTTCCACTACTAAATGCCATTATGGATTAAATAATGTCTTCTAACAAGGTATGTTCAAGTACAAGCCCTCAGTACCAGTGAATGTGATCTTATTTGGAAATAGGGTCTTCTTTGCAGATGTAATCAAATTAAGAGAGGTCATATTTAATCCGTGGTCCACAACAGTTGAAAATTATATATCTCTTTTTTCCTTGAATTTTTAGTTACCAAGATTGTGTTTGACTATGAATTTGATTACCAGAAATTTAAGATGACAATTAAAACATTAAAGAAGATACTATTAAATTAAAAATTTTACTATAATTGTCAAGCTGCCAAGTGCAATTTGATATCAAATTTTGGCATATCCGAACTTATTAAAAAATTCTCAGCTGGTTTCATAATAATACTTACAACAAAATGGACCAACAGTACAGATTACAGTCTTCCACAGGGTCTGATTTCCAGCAGGCCAAGGAATCCATGAACACACAGCACACCTAGTCACAGGGTTCTGAATGCAAGTATCTCCATATGTAGATCACAAATAGAATCACCCACCTTATCAAGCTCATGAAAAGGAAACTAAATACCTCCAATTCATTTCACAAATCCCAAATAAAAATTCTATTTACTCAATATCTAAACATCAATTTCTTTAATTTCTTTTAATTGGGTGATGGTATGACATTATTGACTTCATATCAAAGTACTTAATTCCAGGGTTTGTTTGTATTACCTGTTATTCAATATATTTTCCATTCCCAGTTTAAACTATAATCACTGTTATTTGGAATCAGGGAGTAATTCCTGTAGAGAAATTCATAGGGAAAAAAACAATAAACCCTTTTCTCGGACAGCATATATTAGATAGTCACACTTTAGAGGAATACTCTATGCATGGCTTAAAATGCAAGTGGAATTAAAGCAAATTACTCTTTTACCAACACCTAAACGACTCCTGAATTGCATTCTATCATGACACAAGCATTCCAGAAGCTCCAATGAATGAGCTAAGGTCATCCTAATGGGGTTGAATCTTGTGCTGTAAAGTGTTCCATCTTGTCCTGATCCTGATCAATATACGTAACAATCATTCAGATGAATCAACAGAAATACACTGATACAGGTGGCAGAAATAAACAATAGCATATACATTAGGTGCCAGAATTAATATTCAAAATGATCTTAAAGTGGTGAAATAATACAGCAACATGAATGAGTTTAAATCCAATACAGTAAGTGTAAAAGTTTTAATTTACATTAAAAATTAACCATACAAGTACAGGATTGAGCAGAGCTTGAGGCAGATTATATCACGAAGAATAGCTGAAAAATTAGAGGGTTTAATCCAAAGAGAACACTAAAAGAGACACAGAAGAGTAGTCTTTAACTGTATGAAGGGGGAAAGTAGGGTTGAGGGACAAATCACTGGTTAGCTCAGTGACTCAGAGGGGTGAGATGGCCCAAGTTCTGTCTTCTGCTCTGCCACATACTGGTCTTAAGATTTTGGTCACAAAATTTCAGGGCTCTAAGCTGCATGTCCCTCACTAGGAAAATGGGTAAAGGAACAGTACTGACTGCAAAGGGACTAAAGGAGATAAAAGCCCTCAACTCTATCAGCCATAAAGACTGCTACATAAATTGTTAGGTAGTAACGAAAGATGACTTCAAATACTTCCATTTTGACCTCAGTGTGTACTTCCTAATTGATTAAATTCTTCTTTCCAGCTTATCTCTTAAGGCAGGGAAAAGACCCTTCAGGCAAAGCATCCTGTGTTGCCAAGGAACTGAAACTACCCCCTCAAGCAATGAGGACTGCCCTGAGCCAGCGAGACCCCTTGTGACTGACCCCAAGACAATAATGGGCCTGACCTTTCCTGCCCACCTGCAGGTACCCACTGACCTTTGCCCCACATTTTCCTTATATACACCTGGAAGTATTTTCGGCACTTTGGAGACAGTCTTTGAGGTGCTAGTCCACTGTCTCCCCAGCGGTGGCCTCGCTGAAATAAACTCCTTTCACGTTTCCCCACCACTTGTCTCTCTGCCTTTGGGTTTTTGTCAGCAGCGAGTGGCTGAACCCGGTCTGTTTGGGACCCTGGAGTCAGGCACTCTTGCACCCCCACACCCTGGTTAGAGTAATATAGGAGAGAATTTTACTTAATAAGGTTCTATTTTTCTCTTACTTTCTTAATGAGTATCCTCTTTCTGTATGTAATCAAGCAGAGGACATATTTTTGAAAGAATCCTATAATGTGTAACCAGGTGGGCTCCAGGGCACCCTTGCCAAAATTCTAAGATGATATTCATTTTGCCTGCTGAAAAGATGTGTGATACCCACAAACTTGTTAACATTGTTTGGAGGGAGGGAGGTGGTTAAAAAAAAAGTGTTTCTAGTGTGACAAAGAACTGCCTCATGTCCTTCTTCTCAGTTTCTCCTAAGTCAGCCTTCACAATTCAGCTTCTTTTTTTTTTTTTTTTTTTTTTTTTGAGAGAGAGAATCTTAAGCAGGCTCCATCGATCTCACCACCCTGAGATCATGACCTAAGATGAAATCAAGAGTCAGACACTTAACTAACTGAGCCACCCAGGCACCCCTCAGCTTCATTTTTTTTGAAGTTAAATAAAGAATATTCTACATACTCACTTTCAAACGCAAAACAAACAAAAAGCCAAGAAAATCAAAAACCTCCTTTAGTAGTTTTGATAGCATGCAAAAACGTTTATATTATGATGCTCTATGGATAACAAGTAGGCTATCAAACTATGTAAGAGCAGAATTACAATTTAAAAAATTCGTCCAAAAACAAAAATAAAAACATACATAAAAATGAAAGTGACTGATTTGGAGAGGTGGTTTTATGGGTGATTTTTTAAAACTACTTTACACATTTCTGTATTTACCAAATGTTTACATATATATATATAGATAGATTTACTTTGGATGGAAAAAATGAATTTTTAAGAGAATTATTCCAATACTTATTTACTTTAGAATACCCTCCTCTTTATCCATTCATGTACTAAGTTGATTGTCATAGGTAATTCAAAATGCTGCATATAAAACAGTTTAATAATTCTTACAGAGCAACACATGAACAAGTGCAGAATATGAGAAACTAAAGTTGTATGGATTCAAGGACCAACAAGGAAAAAAAATAAAATAAAAATAACAGCATACACTTAATGAGGTCTGAGTAAGTAGCTCACTGATGCGCAACGCTGTCCCTAACTCGCCGGGGCTAGGGACAGAGCCATTGCAAGCCCATAGCAATTTCTGTGCATATTATCACTTTCCATGCACTATTTAAATGCATTATTTTCTACCTTCTTCACTATAAGCTCTGTGATGGTGGAGATTATCTGTTTAGCACAATTATCAATGCTCAGTACATAACTGTTACATAACAAGCTAATAATATACTGCTTTAATAACTCAGCATAACAGAATGAGAGTTGATTAAATATGATAGGCCAAAAGAAATCCTGAAGTATAATTTTTTTAAATGATAATATCCACGCAGAACTTTTTAAGACTGAAGCACATATTTGTTTCTATTAAATGGAAGTTAGTTTTTTGATAATACAAAATATTACCCACTGAAAAGGGCTTTTAGCAGACTAATTAGAAAAACCACTGAGCACTGTCAAAGTAATTAGATAAATCCCTAGATCTCTATTGAAAATAAACATAAATACTAATTTCAAATGAGCACTTTGTGAGGATAGAAATATTATCAAGTGTCCTTTGGGAATTCTCCCTAAGAACTGTATTTTGAAATGTTTAATTATGTTAAAGTCATTCTGAAAAGTTTCTGCGTATTTAAATTAATCTTCATGAAACAAAGTTCTAAGTCTTGTTTTTCAACATAGTGATACAAATTAGCTGTAAAGTAGGAATTATTTCTCTTCTGTTTTTGATATTAGTTCTGTTATTATATTTCAGCAGGAGGAAAGGATTCACTGGGTGTTTAAATGGATTATGATTATCGATGTTTAGTATACCATTAAGGTGAAATTAGAGTTAATTATATATCCCAGAGCAGTGCTGAGAAGTTTAAAAGTCCATATTTTCCAATGTAGTAAAACAGAGCTGTGTGAGGCTTAAGTTTATCCAACACATCATCCAGATTCTGGTTTCAGAAGTGTGTAGATCACTCTGCCCTAAAGGTAGGAATAACTTGCAACAGGATCAGCATCTTTTTTCTTCCCCCCCTTGAGTGCTACAGTCGTAGGGGAAATGATTTTTAACAGTGACTGCTGTTACCGCCAATGGTATCTGAAAATCATTGCTGGGATACTGGGTTGTAGGACAGAAGGCTACGACTTTCCTTCAAATGCCATCAAAGCTACTTATTTTCCTGCTGTCTGGGCTTGGACTTGGGAACTTGACTCAGCTGTACCTTCAGTCTTCTCCGTCAATATGCCTCCCAGGATAATGTCATCCAGTCTTACAGCAGGAAATATTTTATATCCACAGATGATTCGAACACCTCCAGACGTGACTGCTCCCCTAGGCTCCAGACTCATCTATTCGTCTGGTTTCTGGACACCTTCCGTGGTTTACTTTCTTTACACTGAACATGCCGAGTTAATTCCTGTTTTAGGATCTTTGCACTATTCATTCCAACGGCCTGGAATTATCTTTCTTTTCGTTCCTATCTTACTCATGTGGCACCTCCTTAGAGAGGTCTTCCAGACCTCCCATTTTAAAAAGGACCTACCCTCTTTGCTATGCTTAATTCTATTACTTGGTTTTATTTAACTTCTAGCACTTATTATTATGTAAAAATAATCAAGGTATTTGTTTACTTGCCATTGCCTGTATCCCCCTCACGAAAATGGAAGTTGATCAAGGCCATCAAGCTGTTTATTCTAATTTATCTGTGCCACCGTCATACTGGGTATTCCTTATTTTGAGTATCACTGCTGTCTTAGATAAGGCCTATTGTCTTAACATTTTAAGTATGTTGGGATCTATGTTCCATTCTTCCCTCACTTGTCCTCACAAAGGTGAAATAACTAGGGGTCTACCTATTTCCTCACTTGTTTGCCTTACCAACCCTCCCCAAGTTGTAACACCTAGATTCCCAGATTACGACAGGAAGTGGGTTCAGGATCTTTCAACCTCAGCTTCTAAACCTCTGTCTAATATAAAACAAGGACTTGATATATTTAGATGAGAGCACCGCAGGCAACAAGGGCCCCACTGAGCAAAATGTTGAATGTGTCTCATATGCCCTCTTGTCCCAGCTTCTGAGTCTACTTAAGACAAGAGAGAGCCAATCTGGGTACACGCTGACATTTACAGAACAGGTGCTGTAGGAAAACATCATAAACATGTGCTCCAATACAAACCATGGAAGTGGCTTTCCAAATATGTGTAACAAAAGCCGTGTGCTTCATCTATGAAAAAGTGAAAGTTTGCAAATAAAATGTCTTAAGAAAATGTGTTTTCCCTACGCATGTTGGGAACGGCAATCAAAGTCAGTGTTTTAAGTATTTAGCAGCAACAAAAAAATCTTGGACTATTAAAAAGTAGAGGAGTGGGGTGCCTGGAAGGCTCAGTCAGTTAAGCACTGGACTCTTGATTTCGGCTCAGGTCACGATCTCAGGATCGGGAGATTGAGCCCTGCATCAGGCTCCGTGTCTGCTTGACCCCTCTATTCCTCTATGTGTGCACTCTAAAATAAATAAACAAAAATCTTTAAAAAAAAATTAAAAGTAGAGGTTTAAAACAAATAACATTGTGGAAACTGTGCAAGTGGACACAAGTTTATTTTTAACATGCCAAAAAATATTAAGTATTATTAATATATCTAGCCTGGAAAGATTTTAGTTTAATTTTTATAATTTAATTTGTTATAAAGAGCCACGTAAGTAAACTGAACATGTGTAAAGCAAGCCCAATGTCTAGCAATCCTTTATTAGTCTTTTCCCTCAGGATTCGCTTTTAATTAAGCCTGCTTAGGTAGCTATATCACAGATGAAATGAAGTGTTTCTTTTTTATTTTC